AGAAAAACTTTACAGACATTCGACAGCGCACGACGAGAGATGGAAAGAGACAAAGGGACAGAGGGGGATTCCCCAGGGGGATGCGCGTCGAGACGAACACGCGCGCGCGGCCGATTATTTTCCCGACACAATAACGAGACACACGACCGACGACGACAGCGGCGGCGGCGGCGTGATTTTACAGTAATAGTAATAGTAAAACTGAAGATCCGCGCGAAAGTAGTCGGTGTGGAGAATTTGCGTGGCTACTTGCGTGGCTGGCGGCACGCTCATTTTGGTACACGATAATAGCGCAGGACAAGGTAGCCCAGGGTCCGGAAAACGATCAGGAACGCCAGAAGCACCGCCGTGTTCGCCCACATCGGTAGACCGGAGCCCTTCGCTCCGCCTTGGCTCTCCAGAATCGCGGAAACGGGTATCGTCGTGCCGTTTTTGCATTCGGCGAATTTGCTCTGTTGCGAGCATCTGTCGTACAGAAGATTACGCGCTCGGTCAGTCGTTGCCACTACAGCGTTGCCTTCGATCGCGGAATTTTCTTTTTCCTTCTTTTGGTACGTCGACATAAGGATATCCGGACGGAGCATGCGCACAGACGCGATAGCTTCAGCGTTCGGTGGAAGGTCATTGGTAAATTTTAACCCTGGGTAACTAATCTTTCGTAAAAATGATGATCGGAATGTTTGTTCCGCAAATGCTTCAGTTAACAAATGTATTCGATAACAAATGTAACTTTTCAATCTTATTTATCCTCTTTCCTTATGGGATAAAATATTTCTGTTATTAAATTAAAAAACTTTAATTTTACTCGTGTTTTCAACTGACGTCGCACATTTTCACGAACTGATAATGTTAATCACAGATAGATTAGTTATCTGAGATTAATCATATTAAATAATCAATAAGTAATAAATCAATATTTGAACCGTAGGTCGAGAAATGAAATTAAAAGATTCAAATAAACCCGTTACGATTAAAAAATTCTGTAATAATCCAATGTTAATTAAAAGTTCTACTAGTTAAGAAATCTTAATAACTCGGTTGCACAGAATATTAAGACTGCTGTGCGGGTCACTGTGCTGTTACCGAAAAGAGGGGCACAAAAATAAATTGACGAATTCCGAGAGTGATCGGTAACAACGTAACGGCGGTCATCGAAATATCTGTCAAGTGAACACAGACACGATCGATCGCTATTTCTTCTACATTAATTTAGCCCATTTAGCGGGACACTTAAGCACACGTATATATGGAAATCTTTCTGAACACTTGTTATACATTTTCAGGCTTTTAAATCCAGTGAAGGTATACAGCGTGTTGTTTGAACATTTTCCTAGCGAACACACTCTCTCGACAGCCGAGTCGAAATCTTAGCTTCATTTCCGACTCGGGTTGTCTAATAACATAGGACTACAGAATAAAAAAAGTGTTTTGGTCTGGAAGGAAGACCAACTATTTCCTACATATTTTGACGTGCTGAATCAGAATTCGTTTCCCAAAGATTTGTATCGCGTCACATTATGTGGTAAGAGAGTCCAAAATCACAAATTCACATCGCAAATTAAAATAACGCAAATTATAAAGTACGAGGGTAGTTCCAGAAGTACCTGACATAACAAAGAAAACACAGAAAATTTGGGAAAAAATATCTTTATTTCTCTACATAGTCTCCTTTTAACTCAATATACTTTTCCCAGCGATGTTCAATAGCTTCGATACCCTGTTTATAATGGGAATCGTCGAGCTCCTCAAAATAGCCATCGAGCCACCTTGGTCCATTGTTTTGACTGTTCCCTCGTCTCAGGTGTGAAGTGATGGACCCATGTTTCATCCATGGTTATGAATCGACACAAAAACTCGGCTTTATTGTTGCGAAACTTCGCCAAATACTCAATTGAAACATCCTCACGACGCTGTTTTTGTTCCAATCGCGGCACCCATCTTGCGCACAGTTTTCTCATGTCTAAATTTTCGGTCAATATGCGATGTACAGCACTTTTTGAAATGCCTACCATGTCTGCTAACTCGCGCACTTTCAATCGACGGTCATCCAATACCATTTTGTGGATTTTCTTCACCATTTCTGACGTGGTCACCTCATTTGGTCGACTACTGCGATGTTCGTCTTGGCAGCTCGTACGGCCTCGTTTAAACTCTGCCACCCAATATTTTACTGTTGTAAACGAAGGAGCAGACTCCCCCAGAGTAGGATCTAGCTCCGCTTTCATATTGATTGGACTGAGGCCTTTTAAATGAAAGTATTGTATCACATAACGATGATCAATTTTTTCCATGTTTACAAATTCACTGAGAGCGTTCACTATTGATGGCTGCCAAACAAATACTAAACAACGTAGCGTCGTCAAACTTCAAACTTAAGCTTTATAAGGTTGGTACTTTCTACCATAGTCATTCTTTTCAAACAACAGCCGCTATCTGTACGTCAGGTCAGGTATTTCTGGGACTACCCTCGTACATAGAACCATAATCATAAACTACAAACCAACCAAATCAAATCCCTTAAATCCTCAATGCCAAACTCATATATCCTTAAAGGTAAGATCTCGAAATGATCCGGCTAGTAAAGGCAAGATCTGGAATTAATCCGGCCAGTGAGGGCAAGATACAGATATACCAACAACTTAATCTCCTTTTTTTACTTTTTTGTACGTATTTCTTTTTTTCTTCAAATATGACCTTTGGGTCGCTTTGCTTTCCTTTTATGCATCACTTTCTTTCTCGTGTCTCTTTTCAGTAACCAATAGCAATCCGCCATCATATTTTCGTCTCATCTACCTTGATATATATTCTTAATTTCCTTCGGATCTTGGTGAAATCGATCACCTTGTTCTTTATTACAGTGTCCTAGATTTTCGAGAAAGTAGTCGAGATGAGAGCGGAGAAAATGCAATTTTTAATTCATAAGACATCCTAATTTATTATAATTCGATATAGTTTCGACGATTCTTTTTATAGTTTTATAATTTATCTGCGCCTTGCCTTCACTGGCCACATCTTGACTTCAAGGATATATAAGTTTAGAGTCTATGGGTTTGGGGTTTATGGGTTAAGGGTTCAAGGGACTTGGTTTGGTTTATGATTGGTTGGTTTATGATTGTGGTTTTACATAGATAAGAATTTATCTAAGAACTTATAATCTACGTTATTTTAATTTGCGATATGAATTATGTGATTTTGGACCCTCTTACTATGTTTATCTCATAAGTATGACGTGATACAAATTTTTGGAAAACGAATTCTGTTTCAGCACGTCAAAATATGTAGGAAACATGTTGGTCTTCTTTTCGGAACAAAATCCTTGTTTTATTGTGGTTATCCTGTGTTATTAATTGTCTCGGCAAAACTGCAGATTAATCAGAATCAAAATAGGTCGGTGAAAGCTCTTCGGAATGTTAAATTAGCGTTGAATGGAAGGAACATTGAAGTCGAAAGTAGCATCAAGATTTCGTGCAAGCCGCGAATCTTTTGCATGTCAGGAGAATATTCACGTTAACTGGCAGCTCGGCACATGTCAATCTTGAAATTTTTTGTCGTTTTCGCGACATATCGAGCAATGCCCCGATTCAGCCCCGCGCGTACTTTCATCGTGCAAAAGCACTTGTAATTCTGTGCAACCGGTGTATGACCTCTGAAGTTGGCAGAAGCGACGATAATCTATCGGTAAAGTTTTCTTTAAGTGTGGCGATTTGCGGTAAGGGAGAAGTTACGGCACTTGGGACCACTCAGCTCGCGCGCGCGTGTGCACTTTGCGCACATCTTGCGACACATTGACAAGCCGCAATAAATTGGCGTGGCAAGTTCTTTCGAAAGTGCTACTTCGCTTGGGCACAAACGTCACACCGTTCCACCGCAAGCTCGAGTAAAGCCGAACGTACTCGAAGAAGCCGCGCGACGGAGGAACCGACCAAGTACCGTAACCTGCCCTTTATCGCTAATTGGACCTTCTCCTCGTAGGACGCTCCGTTCAGACATTCTTATGTCGATGACTTTCCGCTCTAATAACGTCTGAGTAATTTTCGAGCAAAATCTACTGCGACCGAAGAACGATTCGGCGCAGCCGATTTAAAGTTTGAGTCTTCGAGTTTGGCTGTTTGTATTCGAACATGCTTCTCGTTTTGAAAGAGAATCGAACTCGATGATAGGCAGGGGTAGACGGCACCTCGTATATACAAAATGGCCGGTTCTCAACGAAGAAGCAAAACATAGCGTTCCGAAAATTCGTTGCTCGGAACGATCTACAGAGACGCGAGTCTCCGTCGAGTTCTTTCTGGCCAATAATCTCACTTCTTGCTACGAGAGAAAATATTCATGAGTCGACGGTAAAAAAAAAAAAAAAAAAAAGAAGAAAAACAGAGCCAATTCCGTGCAGGCGGAAGTAAGAACCCGAAAACGGCCATTTCTGCGGATACGAGAGCCACCGTCTTTCCTTAGCTGCCCGTCAAAAGCGCGAAAAAATAACCGGCAGATAAGGTACATTCAGTGCACAGTCTTACGTGATCGGTTCGCCGACTCCGAACTCCAAAATCTGCATGTTCTGATAGGCGTAGTGCACCATGCTCGCGTACCGGGCCCACGCCAGCCACGGTGGGACCGCCGTCGCCAGATAGCCGCCCAAAAGTTGCGTCGCGAGCGTGTAGAGGGCGGACGCGGTGATGCTCACCTGCAGGTCGAGGCAGCATGCGCCCACGAAGAAGCCGACGCTCTGTAAGTACGTCGTGAAAATTCAAGGCTCGCCCGATAGGAAAAGGGAGAGAAGGTTAGCGGTCGGATTGACACACCGGCCTAGGCGGTGTCAGCCAATGATCATCTAGATAACCTAGATTATCTAAACGATCAGCCAGATGAACGAGTGGGATTATCTTTATCTTTATCTAGATGAAGAAATATTAAGTACGTTCCTCATCTTGAAGATGAATATACTTAGATGATTTACAACTTGAAAATGGATGAAGATGCCTTATCTAAGAGTTATCTAATATGATGTTATGTCTGCGCAAAAGTCTGCTTTTTGTCGGTTCCGAGTGTCGAAGAGCCAATTTTTTGAGAAAAAAGTGATAACGAGCAGATAATTATCAGTGGTAAAAATAATAATGTTAATTTTATAGATCATTGATCCTTTCGATCTAACCTAGTTTTAAACAAATTAATTTATTCACCTGCTTACACAAATGATATAAAAAAAGAAAAGAGAAAAACTATATATAGAATATAATATATAATAGTAATATAATATATAATATATAATATATAATAATATATAAAAGTAATATAAAAAATTCAACACGTATATGGTAATTAACAATTGCACAGGAGGAGAAGAGAAAGATATTGTTTCGAAAATTCACTTTGCTGTGCAGGATTTAGCAAAATTTCGGCACTTTGATTTGCCGCTTGTGTGAAGAATAGGCGCAAAGGTATCCCCCAGGCTGGATTCTCCCCCCCTCCTCTGACTGTTTTTCTCTTCTCGTTTCCCCTCTCGTCGTATGTAGCCACCCCGATTCGCACAGCCCCTCTGGCGTGCCTCGTCCGCGTACGCGATAACCGTGAGATTTAGCGCAAGTAAGCGACGGAGCGGAAACGCACACGTACCTGCGCGACCACGGTGTTGAGCAGTAAAAACAAGAGCAGCGTGACGAAGACCGCCGGACTCTGGAAGCCTAACATCGGGTAACTAATGATATGGTAGACCGCAGGCAGCGTTACCGTCAGCGGCAGCTCGCCGACCATCTTCGCCAGGTAGTAGGCCGAGAGCCGATAGGATCCTGACAGGCGCTCCTTGTTGATCACCTCGCGCTCCGGGGGAACTGGAAAAACGCGTCGTCGCGTGTTATTTTCAGAATTATCTTCACGCCTGTTTCTCCCTCCCTCCCCCTGTCACGCCTCTTTCGCCGGCGCGACGCGCGCGCTTTACGGCAAGCCGAAGGTGATGCTAAAATCGGTTTTATATCCTCGTCGCAGTAGCTCACTGTAGTGTTCGCCAAGTCGTTAAATCAATAATTTCGCGACTACAAGGAGCGAAATCGCGCGCCTTTATTCGCCGGTTTATCTCCAATTCGGAAGGAGGTTTCACCTACGCGACGCGAAGTCGATAGATTCTGCCGCCGCAGAATCATTCAGTAGCATCGAGAGGCCTTCGTAGGCACCTCGTCGGTAGCGCGACGCTCTCAGTTTTCGAACGCAATTTGTCCCACGTCGCTATGACCACTTGGCGCGGAGATATCGACGAGCGGCGATTCTCAAACGGGGCCTGTGAGGCCCGGCGACACAATGTTGCACGCCGTTTGCTTCTCTGCAACTGGGTGCGTCGCCGGGGAGGGGAGAGGTGTTATGCCCGAGGTGTGAACGCACTGCAAATGTGCTATGCGCGCGCTGCCGCCGTCACCGACGAAGAGCCGTGCGCCGCCATTGGAAAGTTTTATCTCGGCAAAGAACCGACATTCGAACGTCAAACGAACATCGATCTTCTGGGCCGCTCGCGTCTGCACTTATCGCATACGCTCTTGTTACATGTGTTTGCATATTTGGTTATTAATAATCGTTACACAAAACTCGCTTCACACGTGAACTCACACGTGACTCAGGCCTGGATTTAGAAAGCTGCACGTTTGAGTTTCCCATTTCAATCATATACGTGGCATGATATTTGTAATTGAAAAAGCTCACATTTAAATTCTACGTTCCGGATTTGAGTGTCTCACTTGAAACTTGTCTCACATGAGACACTCGGAGCTTAAGTTAAAGTTAGACTTGGGTTTTCTATTTGAATCGTACATGATGCTGCGCGTAATCGTGATTTAACTGAAAAACCCGCATACGATCTCGAGACGTGGCTCATTATTATTATAACCGCACACATATTTGTATTCTGTTTACTCATCTTTTTCATAATAAAATTAGTATATAATAATATTAATAGCACATATTGAGAAACATTTATCGATATTGATAACAAATATTTATAAATATTTATCAATATTATTACTGATTAAATATGATATATATTAGTAATATAAACATTGATAAATATTTACGAATATTTATTCTTACAATAATATCATTCAAGCAAAGCGGCAAACATTGCCCGAAATATTCACACTGGACTAACTAAATAGTTTCAAACGCATAGTCAACGATTGCTCGCCGGTATCGGGCCCGAGACATCGTTGTGATCTAATGAACTCTCCCAACCAATTACTGATTACCAATATCGAGCCATCGACGATCCGACAATCTAGCAACTACCATCTAATCTTAAAATCATATATAGCTAATCGACTTGCTGCGCTCCCCCTTGCTCCCGCAATACTGCGAGTTTTCATTCGCGCGAGATGCGCGCCCCCTCCTTATTTCCTCATTCCCGTTTCCGCTAATCCATCGGGAGGACGAGTTCTCCCCGCGCGATCGCTCTTTCTAAACCTATGCGACTTGCATCCTTCCGCGATGCGGTATTATCACGTATCGTCATTGTCCGGCTGATAATCGCAGCCCCTGCATCTCGCTGCGATGGAAACGTCACGATGGAAACGTTGCGCGCCAAGAGAACGCGCATGCGCACGAGTGGGAATGAGACAACTCAACTCACAGCTGGAAAGCGCGCCGAAATGCGCGAAGAGCATCCAATACGTGGTGCTGAAGAACATCCAGCCCTGGATGTCGTGGAGGGCCGCTTCTGTCCGCGGAAGCCTCAGCCACAGGAGCCCGGCCAGCAGTCCTAACGCTATCGTTTGCAACCAGTTCAAGCGCGACAACATCCGCGGCCGTGCCTCTTGAAAATTCCTCTCCGTTAATACCTGAAACAAGGGCGAACGCCCGCCATAGTAGTATCGTGTCTTCGATTGCGCGATCCGACGTGTGTGACTTAACCTTCTAAAACGCCATGTGACTTCGAAGTCACGTATGCTGATGTATCGATATTCTTAACCTCAATTGTATACGCATAAGCAGATAGATGTAACTCCATTGTAATTCCAAAGTTACACAAATCTTTTTTTCTTGGAATAAAATCTTTGAACGTCGTAAATTAATCGTTAACTTAACTTATATCTGTTAAAATTATTACTAATATGATAATTGTAAAAATTATTTGTCAATTTATATCCGGAGGATTAATATTCAATGGCTTCATGTTGCATCATTCATTTTACACTCACAAAAACAAATTAAGTTATGGTAAACTTCTTTCAATCCGCATTTATCGCGGTGTATGACAGGTTTGAAAAAAAAATATACGTTATGACCGACGTGAATCTGGCAAGCAATTTGATAAAAATTTGATAAAAAAAAATTCGCAATACGGTTCGATTGTATTAGGTGAACAAATGAATAATTCAAATTATTTTAAGCAGTTATGAAATCAATTTTAAATTGAATAGATTTTCCCGCTCTTTTGTGATTATGCAATGTTGACATATAACTATTAAAAAGAACACATAGTTTGGCGAAAGGCCCAACATAACCTTGAAAAGTATTCAGTTCAGTACAGTCGAAAATGACAACAGATAAGGTGCATATCCGACACTGCATTCTTTACGAATTCCAACGAGGAAAAAATGCTGCAAGAGCGTGCGAATCGATTTGTTCCTTTCTCGGCGAAGGTGTTATATCGTACGATGTGTGCGCATTTTGGTTTAAGCGGTTTAAAAGCGGTAATTTCAGTCTAATCGACAAACAACGCCCTGGAAGCCCTCCGAAGTGCGATAATGATGATTTGGAACAACTGCTCGCTGAGAATTCGGCACAAACACAAAAAGAGCTTGCAGAACAGTTGAGAGTAACGCAGCAAACGATTTCCAAACGTCTACATGAGATGGGAAAGATCCAGAAAGAAGGAAAATGGGTGCCTAACCGCATGAACTCACTGAAACCAACAACAATCAACAAGTGGCAGCGTGTCTTTCTCTTCTCAATAAGCAGCGTCGAAAGCAGCTTTCTTGTGGAAAATCGTTACGGGCGATGAGAAATGGATACTCTATGACAATCCGAAACGCAGAAAGTCATGGGTAAATCCCGGCGAATCATCAAAATCGGTCGCGAAACCCAATCGCTTCGGAAAGAAGGTTCTTCTCTGCATTTGGTGGGATATCAAGGGCGTGCTTTATTATGAGTTGTTGGAACCGGATGAAACAGTTACTGCGGACTGCTACCAACGTCAATTAATCTGCTTGAGTCAAGAATTGGAACGAAAACGCCCGTATACTGGCAAAGGAGAACCAGTCCAGTGAAATTGTTGCATGATAACGCCAGGCCACACATTGCTTCCAATACAAGACACCATAATGTGTCTTGGCTGGGACGTCTTGCAGCACGGCCAGCGTATTCACCAGACATTGCTCCATCCGATTATCACTTGTTCCGGTCAATGCAACACGCCTTGTCCGATATGCACTTCCAATCAGTGGATGAGATCCGAAAATGGCTTTATCGTGTCCAAAGACGTAACATTTTTCCGAGATGGAATTCATCAGCTGTCTGAAAGATGGCTTAAAGTTATAGAAAGCAACGGCGAATACTTTGATTGAACAATTTAATTTACTTTCTTTTAAAATAAACCTTGAATGTAACTGAAAAAATTGGATTATTCATTTGTACACCTAATACTTCGTTTGTACCTATTTGTACCACTTTTTGTTTCGTTTGTACCTCGAAGGATAAAAAGATAGGCGGAAAAATAGCCAGCAAGCAAGTATATGACATCATAAAACGGCCAACGCCATTCGAAAGATAATCGTTTGTATACGTTTATACCTCCCTTCAAATCGTTTGTACCTCAAAAGAACCGGAAGTACAGGTTTTTCAAAAAACGTCCAAGAGGTACTTTCGCCAATTTTTTAGATATCGCAAAACGGCCAACGCCATTCGAAAGAGAATCGTTTGTACTCGTTTGTACCTCCCTTCAAATCGTTAGTATCTGAAAGGAACCGGAAGTACAGGTTCTTCAAAAAACGTCCAAGAGGTACTTTCGTCAATTTTTTAGATATCGCAAAACGGCCAACGCCATTCGAAAGAGAATCGTTTGTACCCGTTTGTACCTCTCTTCAAATCGTTTGTATCTCAAAGGAACCAGAAGTACAGGATCTTCCAAAAACTATAATTTTTTTTTATTAAATTGTTTGCCAGGTTCACATCAGTTACGTTATACGCAATGGCAGAAATATTAGCGACATATTAATAATAATATTTGTATAGTAATGAAATAATAATGATAAAAATAATGACATGTGCGTAATAGTAAAGTATGAACAATGAGGATATTCGTTTCGTAATGTTTATTTATTTCTTTAAATATTGTATTCGCTCGTTCCTCTGAGTGAATAATCATTCATACCTTTAATAATAATTCATTCATATCTTTTAGTTTCATCAACGTTTATATCATTCATATCTTTAATAAGTATTCATTCATATCTTTTAGTTTTCTTCAACGTCCATTAAAAATGAGAGATGCGTCGTTATGTGAATTGGAGTGATTTTTGTAAGAAAGCGCTCAAAGCCGGTCGTTTCGAAGTTCTGAATTTCTGAAGCTTCGAGGGGCATTATAGTCGAGTGGCGAAATTTCAAAGTGTGAGTACTTGAACATTCTTCTATTATTATTCTCACTCATTCATTTACAGGACAAGAAACGCCCTTTGATGCACGTGAGAATGACAAAACGGGTCTCGACAATTATTACAAATTCTAAAGAGAAAATAAATTAGCAATTGTCCAAATTAATGGTTATCGGAATTATGATTAAACGAAATACAACGGGAGTAAAAATAAAGTGATTTACGAGTTAAGTTATAGTTTCAAGTGTGCCCGGGGTGAATTACGAGGCAGGACAACGGAGCCGGAGCAACTATTCGGCGCTACGCGTAAATAATTTATGCAGTTCAACGCTCGAACTAATTGCAGAATCTTTCCGCACTTTCTGCGAAATCAGTTTTCTCGATATTCCGACTCTTCGAGCGCTGGAGTTCGGAGCGTTGGGCCTCTTCTTGTAAGTTCCAAGTCGAATTGCTCGCGGAGCTCCGAGCCTCAAGTTCAAGCGTCATATTACACCGCGAGCGGCCCGAGCGCATCAGATTGTTGCACCGCCTGTAGCAACGCGATGAAACGCCTGGATGCGATATCGGCGTCCGTGAGAAAACAGAACGCGGAGTTTCGCAACGCCGGCCGGTCGGCCGCGCCGGCGTCGAAGGTCCTTTTGAATAATAATAACCCGCGACACGCGCGCGCTCAACGCGTCTCTCGCGCGTCCGCGGCTTCCGAGAGAGGCGATATTTTTCAACCGGTCGCATCCGAGTCGGGCCAAGGGGAACAAAGGATACAGCATATTAATATTCCGTGTCTCCGTCAGTTGCATAATAATACAGGGGAGGCGGGCACGATCGGAGGAAATTTTTCGTGGAGAGAGAGAGAGAGAGAGAGTCTCGTTGCTAAACTTCAGACTTTCCGACAAACAATTTAACTTTTCTGACGATTCATTATTGCAATCGACTGTGCAAAACTGATAGAGACCATCCTCCTCTGTTTTCATGCCGGTCTTGTAGACTGCATAAATTTTCCTTTTTCAATAACACTAAAGCACGAACATGCATCACTGCACGAATTTTCTCAAAGTTAGGTTAGGTTAGGTTTAGGGTGGGTTAGTATTAAGGTTTGGTTAGGTTAGATTTGGTTAGCATTATAAAAAATACGATCCCATTATATAAGATATGATTCCGGCTCGGAGTTCCGATCTTGTTTTTGACCTCAATATTCCATTTGGCGTTAATTTGTTATTCTTCAAGCGTTTCTGATTGCGTTTAACGCATAGTTTTGCCAAGAGGTCTCTCAAGAACATGCAAGTGGCAAATTGTGCGTTTTCTGGCATTTAGAGGCGCTGAGTAGGACTTTAGTTTCCGTAGAAATTAAATCTCCATTGCCGAGTGGAAGTTTCTACCTGCTTTCGACTTTAATATTCCACTTAACGCTAATTTAATGCTCTGAAGTCTGCATCGATCCTTTTGATGATTGTAATTAACGTGTAATTTCGTCAGGAAGTTCTCCTGAGAACTTACAAGCGACAAAGTGTATGTTTTCTGTCACTTAGAAGTGCCGAATATGACATCAGGTTTTGTATAAATTAATATCTTCTTTCATCCTTTTGAAAGTGTTTCATAATAAAAAAAGTTTTATATATCGTTTTGCTTCCGAAAAATTACCAAGACCTTTATGATAACATGAGGATGAAGTATCTTATATATTATTTTTATTTATACTAATATATAATTCCTGGTTCTTTAAAGTCAAAACATTGATCTGTAATTCTTAACATTGTGCTGAATTGGAGTAAAATTGCTGATATTTTATATCGGCTCCTTGCGTCATCTTTGGATTTCATAAAACTTAAAGGCCTACCGCCATCTGCATATTACACAAGGTTCATCTATCGCCATAAAGTTAATAGAGGGAAGTGAATATTTATGCACAAAAGCGTCTTGTTGAGAAAGCAAGTAAAGGTTTTTTTTAGTTTTAGAAGTAAGTTTTACCCAATTTTACATAAGACATTTCAAAAGATATATTAATTTAGCTGTTTGCCACTTCTACATTAAAATTGATATATTTGCATGACATAATTTAGACATAACCTTACTCTGTGTATACTTTACTACCATAATTTTAAAGACACTAGTCTCTTAAATCGAACCACTATTGATTACCTATATTGTAATAATTTAGGAATAATTATACGTAATATAATTTAGGAATTTCCAAAGAAAACTACATCTGTCACTATTGTTCTTAAAAGCTAAGATGTTTATTATTTTCTTCTATGCTACCTATTTATTTTTTGTTTTAATTGAATAGATTTTTGTCCAATAGTTATTTATTTCTTATTTAAGTTTTTAAAAACGAAAATATCTTATTTCTGTAAGTTTAATTTCGAAGATACAATAAATAAATACAGTAATTTTTAATTATGTGGACAAAAAATAATTTTATGAATATAAAAAGTCAACATTCGTATAAAATAAACTTCATATAAAAATGGTTATAATTTTAATAATTATTTTAATAAGCAATCTTAATGTTTTTCTTATAATTAAAAAATATTTTTTTAGCTTTTCATATCAAGCTATAATTTTAATTAATTTCTTAGTTAAATTTCTAAATATAAAATAATTACAAAAATATTTTATTTGTGTAATTTTAATGTAATATGATTTTAATTTTAACTACTTTTTAATTAAAAAATATTTTTTAATTTATTATAACTGTGATTATAATTAAACACATATTTATTTAAATTGTTTGTATATTATCCTTCTGCCTCTATAATTTTTAAATTAGTCAAATTAGTTAAATATCAATACGATGAAAGAAATAAGGTATTAAGTACTTGCAAATTATGAAAAAAAGATTGGAAACTGGTCCAATATAGGCAATCTTCCTCTATATATTTATCTCAAACAGTTATCGATTCGCTTCGATTCTAGTTACGGTCAGTTTCGCCCGAAAATCGGAGTTTTGCTTGGTTTTCGATTGTGGCCGAAATTCCAGGAAAAGGGAATTTGCCGACAAAACTGATCAAGTTGTGACTTCAACGGCATCCCGATCAGCCGGCATCGACGCAGTATTTGCTGCGATTCCTCTCCTCTCTATCTTCACCATCTTCACTCGTCTGACGGCCCAGTGCGCCATTACGGACCTAACCTCTCAAAAATTTATTTAGTGAAACTGCCACTGAACTGTGAAATGACTTGAAGATATAGCACGTTCAGGAAGACCCTCCGTTATTGATAACCAAGAGTTATCAATGATTTATTCATATATCAATCATAACATTCATTCATACATCAATTGTGACATTTTTCTGAAAATGTTCGCTCTTGTTTAATTTTTAATATACAAAACGGCACGAACTTTTTCGCTTACTTAATAAAAGAGAGGATTTTCTTGCTCGGCCTCTAGCGCGCGCGGTTCCGCCAGGTAAGAGTGACGTAAGCGACGCGACACGTTCTTTGCAAAGCGCGACGCGCGCGGCGATTACGAACGCTTGCGCGCATACCGGTCGGCCGTAATTATCCGGATATGGTGAATCGCGCAGCGAACGCGACCCAGTTCTCCTCTCCGATCGCGCTTCTTTCTCGCCTTCGCGCGTTTTCTTTCGGTCTCGCCTTCGCGCGCGCCACTCCACCTGCGAGACGCTTCACACAGAGAGATGTGCGATCGCGATGCGCGATCTCCTTCCTTACCTAAATATCACGCGACAAGTCACATTGTAACCTTTGTTTTTTTTCCTGTTGGTTTTAAGGGAATAACGCCCAATCATATGCAAAGATGTATCGGTTGGGTTGGGGTAAGTTAGGTTAGGTTGGCTTAGCGCAGTCGCAAGTGTAATTTTGAGCAGCGCGTGACGTCGAGAAGAGAAAATCGCGCGTCTCTGAAGCGACAGACGTGGCAGTCGTCCTTCCAAGCGGGAATAATCGATTCGACGGGCATTAATCCACTTGCATGTTCTTAGCGGCGTCCGTGATGAATAATCAATCGCGCGCGCGCGCGACGGACTCGATCATCTTTCAAACAGCGTGCGCGCAAAGAATACTACGATATTCTTCGCGTATAAATTTTTGTCAGTCTCCTCCCCTGGTACTGTGTAGGAATAGACTTTCGGTCAAGCTGATCTAAGGTATATATACAGGGTATTGAGAAAAAGGCTTCCAGATTCACCGGGTAAATAGCGGTCATTATAGTAAAAATTGCTTGGTAAATATATAGGTCGTTACCTTTCAGAGTTACAAATGTTTTCCGATCTTGCTAGCGCAAGTTATTTCTGCGCTTCCATTGATCGCGCGCAGCGACTAAACGAACGAATATGAAGAGAGTTATATTTTACGAGATATTTTATTAGCGAAAATATCGATAGTTTCCGAAATGTAAGCGAGGTTTTCGTGAGCTACCAGGTATTTAAATATGAAACCGGAATTTTTGTATGGAAAATACACGTTTATTATATGAAAATGATAAAAAATATTTTATTCGAAGTATTGCCCATCGCTAGCTATACATTTTTCCCACCTGTCTGACAATTTGTGGATGCCACGCCAAAAAAACTGTTGCTCTTTTGAGGCAAATCAGTCATCGAGCCATTTTCGTACATTTTCGTAAGAAGTGAAGCGTTGCTCAGCAAGTGCGGGTCCCATCGATGCAAATAAGTAGTAATCGGACGGAGCCAAGTCTGTTGAGTAAGCCGCATGCGAAAGTATTTCCCAACTAAACGCCTCAATCGTTTCCTTCACCAGTTTTGCTGTGTGTGATGGTGCATTATCATGAAGCAAAATTACTTTGTGTTGCCTTTTTTGATATTCTGGTCGTTTTTCACGCAAAGCTTGATTCAAATCGATCATTTGTTGTCGGTAGCGTTCAGTATGAACGGTTTCGCCAGGTTTTAGCAGCTCATAATAGATCACACCCTTCTGATCCCACCAAACACAGAGCATTGTCTTCCGTCCATAGCGATTTGGCCTTGCAGTCGATGTCGATGGTTCGCCTGGAGTTACCCATGATCTTTTACGCTTAGGATTCTCAAAATATATCCACTTTTCATCGCCAGTCACAATTCGATCGAGAAATGACTTTCTTTTGTACCTGGCGAGCAGCATTTCGCAAGTGGTTTTCCTGCTGTCTTTCATTCAGTTCATGTGGAACCCATTTTCCCATCTTCTGGATCTTTCCCATGGCTTTCAAACGTATGGAGACGGCTTCTCGTGTCACATTTAATTGATCCGCGAGTTGTTGTTGCGTTTGAGCGTCATCCTCATCCAACAATGCTTGCAATTCGCTGTCTTCAAACTTTTTCGGTGGTCTTCCACGTTCTTCATTTCTCACGTCAAAATCGCCACGTTTGAATCCTTTAAACCACTCAAAGCACTGTGATTTACCAAGAGCATGCTCACCGTAAGCTTCGACAAGCATTCGATGCGATTCTTCAAGCAGTTTTCTTCAAATGGTAACAGAAAATCAATGCTGTCCGCAAATCGTAGCTTCCAGGCACAAAATTCGACATGTTCAACGCTATTACAAACTATGCTGTTGTATGAAACTTGTATTGTTGTGAGTTGAAAATCTTTGTCAGATGTCAACAAATGGAAATGACGCCAATGACGCGGTTTGACGGTAACTACATTGACAGCTAGAGCCATCTATGGGCAAATTCCAGTTTCATATTTACAGACCTGGTAAACTTTGAATGGGCGCAAATGGATGAATTTCATTTTTTCGCTCTCAAGCGGACTTTATTTCGACAGAATTTTAATTCTTCGAGCGTCCACATCCGGCAAAGAACCTAACCTGGTTTTTCTTTAGCATAAGAAAGAAACAAGGGAAATCTTACGATGATTGTGTACAAAAGGGCCGATAAAAACTAATAAATATTTAAATATTCACACACTTTCACTTTCTTTCCCTCTTCAGACATGTTCTTAAGCTGCGCAGCGCGCGCACAATAATTAACTTAACGCGTGCATTCATCTCTCTAAAGCCGAGTTCACTCGCGATCGGTCAACAATGTGTCGACGATGACGATCATCGCCGGCCGATGTTGATACTCCCAAGTGCCGACGCACCCTTTTTAGTACCTTGCTCGCTCGCTCGTGGCATTCGACATTACCGCGCCTTTTTCCACAAAGCGAAAAAGAAGAAGACATCACAATCGATTTCGAGTTATCCGTGCGAAAGCGTTGATCTCTTTCCCTCTTTTCTGCCCTGTCCAAACACACCGCGGCGCGACGCTGCGATTGCATGTTCACCGCATTTCTCTCGCCGTTCTCGCTGCGCAAAGAAGTGGCGGATTAACGTGTCAACGCGACCGATTGGGCCTTCGGGCCAGACGAGAGCCTCGAGGAGCGAGCGGGATATATACACCGGCATTGTACGCCGCTAATTGTTGAGAACATCCGCGGCTACCGTACTCACTTTGAACTGCGACCAGAAGCTGGTGGGCCACTGCCAGGAGTAGTCGTCATCGGCAGAACTCGCGCTGCTGCTGGCGTGACTTTGTGTGTCCAGCCACAGCGTACGGCCTTCGTCTTCTTTCACTGCAAAAGCGCCGGCGAAATGGCCGATTAGAGGAGCGTTCGGGAATCGTGCGCATCGTCGGATCGATAAATAAGCGCGAGTAGCTATAACGACACGGTTGAAAGAAGAGGAAGAGAGAGAGAGAGAGAGAGAGAGAGAAAGGAAGATAAATCGATGTTGATTATTTCATGTAACCCCTTTCTTCAACATGTTTACTCATTACCGGTTATTACGATTCTTTCCCGAAATACGAATCATTAAAAAAAAAATTGAATTAAATGTTGAATATCTTCTAAATAACATTTTACAAATTTCAAGCGCTTTAAGCTAAATATTGAATATCTTCTAAATTACATCTTTTACGTTTCAAATAATCTGAATCAAATTGCGAATATCCCTCCTATAAATATTTTCTAAATAGTGCCTTCTAAGTTTTAAATAATTTGAAAGTGAAATATCTTTTAAACACATCTCTCAAGTATAATATATTTTGTTTTTTAGACAATTTGAATTGAATATTATAGATAAATATTGAATTTAAAAATAAATGAATATTAAAAAGATAAATACTAGATATCACCTAATAACCACTCCTAAATTTCAGTATCTTTTAATATCTGAATTAAACATCCTCTCTCCGAATGTCTCCTAAACTTTTAACGATTTCAATCAGATGTACCGAATGAATATCGGGAGCCGGCGGAGTTCTCTCGCGGGGGCCGATACGTCGCGAGTAAAAGATGTCTTAAACGTCTGCGATCCAGCAGACGGCTCCGGTTTTAAATCCATTTTTTTTATAAATTTAAATTTAAAAACTTCATTTAAATTTATTTTTAATAACTTTTTATAAAAGTGATAACTCATTTAACTCTTAAATATTCTACATTTTGACTTGATATTAAATTTAATAAAAAAAATTATTTAATAATTATTCTTATAAAATTATTTAAACAACAATATATAAGAATTAATTTAAGTTTATCTAATCGTGGATTATCAATTACTTGACAAGTTCCTTTAAAGTCTCACGCGATTCACAAAGCTGCCCTTCCACTGCAGCCAACGTCGAGCCGGACAACACACGACGGACACTCGATCCCTCTCCTCCTCTCTCACTCTCTCTCTCTCTCTCTCTCTCTCTCTCTCTCTCTCTCTCTCTCTCTCTCTCTCTCTCTCTCATCGCCCTCTCTTTCTTCTCTTTCCCTGGCGGCGAGCGCGTTTCAAGCGGCCACGTCGGAACCGCAGCGGAATCGGCCGTTAGAGAGAGTCGGGGGAAGGTCTAGGTGTGCATACATATAAATACATATTATCGTGGGGCGGCTCTGCATACTATATAATACCGTTGTGGCTGATGTGGTGCTCGTGATAATGGATGAGATGGTCGCAGAGCGGATGTTGGCTGGGATTATACTCCGGACGAAGTTCCGGTGGGCAGTCAGGTCCCTGTCTTGCGGCTCTCGCCGCAGCAACGATGCGCTCTCGAACCTCCTCTGGTCCCTTGATTTGCTCCACTGAAACGGACAGGACGGTCTCATGCAACATTGCAGTGCGGCCGCGGCCGGGCGGAGGTTCTGTGGGACTCTAATTCGCGGTCAACGTCTGATCCGTGTGAGCGTCGCGACGTGACGCGTTATTATCTCGGATGATGGAAAGGTAAAAAAAGGATGGAGCGGTAAAAAGTGAACGATAAAAATGGGATGGCCAGAGTAAGTTCGGAAATAAGGCGACTTTTTACCAGAAGTCGCGATGGACACGCCTTGTCCCCGAAGAAAGTGGAATCAGAGTTTGGAAAGCAGGGTGATTTGCTGGAAAATCGCAATATGCCGAAACTCGACTATCGAGACGATTTCCGATACAAAATATTGAAAATGTATCGAACTGACCAGTTTACTGATGAATCCGAAATCAACGTTTTGTGTCACAACTGGCGCGAGCGAATAACTTCGTATTTTACATGAAAGTTTATCTATAGGGGCATTTTTGGGTTGCTGGTGACAAATCCAGGGCCAAATTTTAAAATTCAAAATGGCGGCTCCAAGCGGCTAACTTTGATATTCCGATGGATATGAAACTCGGTATGTTTTTTTAGTCGCAGGAAATGATATAAATCCATTCAGCAAAGAAGTAGTTTCTTTCAACATATTTCACCCACTAATAATAGAGACAAGAGTATCCATAATAGTTACTCACTAGAAACCGCCTTATTGAATCCGTCATTTTTAATTTTGCAACTTTGACTAGATTCATCATCAGCAATCTAAAACACATGAACATATTGAATATCTTCTTCATAATGGAATAACAAAATTTATTACTCGAAGCCGCCATATTGGATCCGCTATTTCGAATTTTGAAATTTCGACCCCGGATTCGTCACCAGCAACTCGTAAAACTCCCCCTCTAAAGAAGATTTCATATAAAATCAAATGGGAGTATCAATCTTGATAAATATTCTTCAAAAACTAACAAAATTGAATATTGCATCGTCATATTGGGTCCGCCATTATGACTTTCTCAAATTTGGTTTCGGATTCGCAGTCAGCGACTCAAAAGGCATGGGTGTATCAAGTTTGAAGAAATTTTCAGGTGTGGAAATTTCCAGAGATTTCCAATATTCAAACACTCGAACTGAATTTTGTTGCACTTGGCAAAATTAGTTTCATTGAGACTTTTGATATTTCGGGAGTCCTCGAATTTGAATGAAATATTGAATATCTTCTAACAATTATATTTTAAGTTCCAAATCCGCTGAAAATCGGCAGAGCTATTCATGGCGTTCATATGAGTCACTACCGGTTGCGTGGCACTTTTCTCGCTCATATATGAGTTATTACTAGCGCGGACTGGTTAATATCCACTCATGGAACAATGGTGTGCTCTGGAAAAGTCGCGCTTGGAGTCGATTCGAGTCTCGATGCCGGTTATTCCGGCTTCCGAACTTGCAGATTTCGATTCTCCGGGCCGATGCGTGTCCGGCGAAATCGCGAGTCGCGTCGGGAAAGATCGCGGCGCTTCCTTTCTCCTCTTTGTGCCTTCTTTCCTTTCTCTTTAGGAGCGAACGTTTTATAATTTCCTTCATCCCTTTGCTCGCGGAGTGGGGGGGGGGGGGTACTCACGAATGAAGTCTGCGGGGTTGTAGTGCGGCAGCAACGTGAGCCCTATCGTGCAGAAAAATCTGCCGATATTCGCCGTCGAGCCGTAGTATGCCACCTGACCGCGGCTCAGCAGGAGCAGCTTGCTGAAACTGTGGAACATCCTGGAACTAGGCTGATGCACCGTCACCACGATGCTCTTGCCCTCCTGCTCGGCATACTTTTTCAACCGCGAGATCAATGCCTGCGCCGAGTGCGAGTCGAGTCCGCTGGTGGGTTCCTGAAATTACGACAGGAGATTGCGATAGAAGTTGACGAATTACACAGGCGGCGCGTTATCGGTCTCGGGAAACTTTCCCCAGATGAGTTTCCGATACGGAAATATCCGATCGAAACACACAGCGAGACCCGAGACACATATGCGCACAGATTAAGAGAGAGAGAGAGAAAGATATATATATATATATATATATAGAGAGAGAGAGAGAGAGAGAGAGAGAGAGGAAAAGAATGTGGAAAAAGCTTACATCGAGCAGCATTAGCGACGGATTTGTGAGTAATTCGCAGGCTATACTCGTCCTCTTCTTCTCACCACCGGAAAGTCCTCGCTTCGTGTAATCTCCGATAACTGTGCAAAAGAGATATCGTTGAGCTGCGTGTCAGCGAGGCAGAAAGGGAGAAAAGGAAAGAAGTATATACTAGAAGCTGCAGATCATATTTAAAGCTCCGGCTCTTTGAATTTCCGAAGCTCTGAAGCATTATGTTCGAACAACAAAGCTTTCAAGTGTGAATATTCAAACACTCGATAGCCTTCGATATTTAGAGAATTTTCGAATTTCAACTAAATATTGAATATCTTCTGAAGACTATATTTTAAGTTCCAAATAATTTCTATTAAATATCAGATATCTTCTCTGTATAAACGTTTTCTTTAAATTTTGAATAATTTCAACTAAACATTACGTATCTTCTAAATAGATAATGTTTGTTGAAAAACATCTTTCAAATTTCAAGTGATTTCAATCAAATTAAATACTGAACGTCTTCTAAACTCCCTTCGAAGATTCGCAACTACAAAGTCGAATTATTTCCGAAGCTCGAATATTATTTTTAATATACACCTATCACTATACAATATAATTTGTTTCTTCTAATAAATATCATACATAATGTATTATATGATATATCAATGCGTCTCAATAATTTTATTATATAATATAATCATGTAATTATCATCGTATATGTGTTAATATAATATTCTATATAATATTATATATTATATAATGTATAATATATATGATATATAACATAAGATATATGATAATGATATACGATATATAACATATGATATACGGTATATGATATATGATATACAATATACGATATAGGGTATATGATATGTAATATATAATATACTATATAATATATATATGGAATAAAACTACATAATATATTATATATAGCTTTATTCCATATAATAACTATATAATATCTTATATATAATAATTTCTCCCTCTCTCGCACAGAGAGACCAGCACTCGCTCTCATCAGCCCCTTCTCTTGCGTCACAATGACTTGATCTCTCGTAGCCTTATACATCCATTCTACTTGATTGTCAAGCCATCGAAGAAAGAACTCGCGCCGAGGATGCGCGGGCGTGCGAACAACAAACGCGCGCGACAAGGCGGAGAGATGTTGAGAATAACGACCGATCGCGATTATCACACACCGTCCCGCGATCTTTTCGCGATCGATCGGGAAAAAGCAAAAGCGGCTGACGCTGGCGAAAAATCCGGAAGATACGACTCGCCGCGCGGGCGATAAAGAGGCGTTTATATTAGGCTTTGCGAGAGCCCACGTCCCGCGCTGCGTACGCGCGAGCGTGTGCGGCCGGAGATAACGGAATTACGATCGGCGGTATCGAGCCGCGGGAAAAGTCCGCACCAAACAAATCCGGATAAACAGTTTCCCGCGAACGATCGGCGGCGGCGGCGGCGGCGGCGGCGGCGCGTTGGCGGGCGCGCGCGATTCGGCCGTCGCCGACGCTATCTGCGACTAATGAGACGTGAAGCAACGCGCGCAGTAAATTATTAACTTCATCGTCGCCGTTGGCGCGCCTCGCACGCCCTCGGTACACACAGGAAGAGAAACGAACGTAATTGCGGGGAATAATATTTTACGTCGCTCCGCTCTCGCGCGCTCCTTCTCTCTTTCTCCCGCGCCACGGAGAGCGGGGCCAAGAAGCTCGGCCGGGTTAACGATCGAGGAAACCGTTTATCAAGCACCGACAATAAGCTCGACACTTCGCGGAGATACGCGATTGCACGCGCGTGTGCCCCTACTTTCCCTCATTTGTATTCAGGAAAATGTCACAGCGCGTTTCCGCCGGGGCAAAGCTCGCTTTCGTCGCCGGATCGACCCCGAGCCTCACTCCCGCCGCTCGCACGCGTTAAATGTGCCCTTTTAGTTCCGCGTTTCCTTTTTCCACGAGCGTCGCGTGCGACGTTATCTCGCCGTGACTAACGAGTATCCAGCGTTCGATCGCGTTTAAATAAAATTATAATCATCCAGGTACAGTTCGGGCTGCAACGTATGCTGCAATTTATTTACATGGGTTGCTATAAATTTGTAACTAAAACTTTTTATTTTATATATATATTTTATACTTATATTTATACACATATATATATATATATCGCTATATATAAATATATATATATATATATAATTCTAACAGCTATTTATAGTATACAGGGTTTAAAAAAAAGGGTTCAGGACTTTAAAGGCAGATACTCACAAAATGGAGAAAAAATATCCGAATAAATATGGCTCGAAAAAATTAACGTCGGAGTTGCGAACCATTATTTATTTTAAATTAATTGAAGCATCTGATTTACTCGCTTCTGATGCACAGCTATATGCGAACTGCATCTCTGCCATTTCTTGGTTAAAGTAATACGACGTCATTCTTAGCGCATTGTGAAAACTTTGTGATAGCTTTCTGCAATTGTATAGATATTTGTTTGCATTCCGCGCAAGAGCGAAGAGATCTTTTTAGGGATTCCTTTTTAAAATACGGTACCCTCTTCACCGATAAATTATATCGAAGATACAAAAGCATCAAAATCGAGCGAGCCACTTGTTTGAATTAAAATAAATAATTGTTCATAACTCGATATTAATTTTTTGACCCATGTTTATTAGGAATTTTTTCCTCCATTTTGTAAGCACTATCTAAAGAACTAAAGTCCTTTAAAATCCTGAGCCCTTTTTTTAAGCATCTTGTGTATATATATATATATATAAAATAATTGCACCTGGATCATATAAATATATATTCCTTTTACTTGCACGTAGAGATAAAACGAGAGTGACCTTTACGATATTATTTAGCATAGCAGATAGATTGACAGATAATTTACTCTATATTGTCGCAAGCTTGCGAACTATTGGAGAATATTTTATATATTCCTTTCGAGGTAGATCGATCGGCCTAGTTTCCGGTGATTTCGAAGGGATACGATCAGTTTTTTTTCCAGACCTCACGATATTAATATCCGTGAGTTTCGCAGTTCCGATTGAAAAATTTCAGTTACGACGCGTTGCAGCGACTCGCGAAGAAAAGAGGAAGAACGATGTACTCAAAGCCGCCGCTTGCCGCTAATTTTTAAAACGCAGTCAATTGCATGTAGCAAATTAAATATACGATTTCGATATGAAACCAATGGCCGCGTTCAGTAGAAAAAGCTGCTTACTAAGCGCTTAGTAATTATCGTTTCTGATTGGTTCATTCCTCTGGATTTGTTAAAGATCTAAAAGAATACTCCAATAATAGATAATAATCACTAAGCACTTAGTAAGCAGCTTTTTCTGCTGAACGCGACCAATGGCAATGAGCTAGCGAGTACGAAGCGCCGCGAATTACGTTTGCTTGCCACATATTTTCCCACCGTTCATCGTTAAATAAGTTTTTTTATTTTTTTGATCAGCGATACAAACTGCAGTTCCGCGCGTTGAAATAATTGATTCGGAAATTGGGACGACAGTTAATATGCCGACGATCTCATCAATCTCTCGCGCTGTAAGCTGAGAGATAACGAAGCTTCTCCCCTGAATAAATTCCCCTGAATTCCCCATGTTTTTTAGTGGTCAGATGCAGAGCATCGGTAGAATGTGCCTTGATGAAGAACACAGTGAATCTCTCAACTACCGATTTCGGTCCTTCGAGTACAAATAGCATACCTAAAATGGAAAGCTGATGCATCAAGGCAGAACGTATGTGATTCACGAAATTCTGTGTCGATTTTGGCTGCAAAATTTTACTATTTTTGTAGTGATCTCATTCCACTAACTTTTATCGCAATACCTTGCCGCCTATATTCCCTATCCAGCGTCACGAACAGATACGAGGTTAAACACGCCGTTGTTTGCATACCGCGGTGTCGTTGTGGTGCGAACGAACGCTCCAATCGCGGAATTACGCCGGCGAATTACGATTATCGGTCGGAATTCCAGATCAAGACTCTCTCAAGATTCATCGTCCTCGCGCGATCTCCGCTAATTCCTATTCAATAAGCTCTTTCTTAATCTAAGGGAGAGTTTCTTTCAACTCCGATTAGTCTCTAATTGGCGTATTCAATAGCGGGATTGCCAACAGCAATTTCCAACCGTGCAATTTGTCGTCTGATAATTACCGAAAAGTTCAAATTCTGTGTAGGTTAGCAAAAAGTAGGGTAGTTAATCCCCGACTGAGATAGCAATTTTAAATGGAGGTCATCAAGAGAGCACGCGCGAGAATTTCTTACTCGTTTCAGTGACAAAAATTGTCTTTTGGTTTCCATGCTGGCAAGCATGCCAGCTAGGTTAATCATCCATTAGCTTGATCAGGATTTTGAGGAAGGCAGGAGCGTATAAAGAAAGACGTAAGTAAAATGGGACTTAAGCGGTAAGAATATTGGCCAATCATAATCGATTATTCTTGGTAGAAAGAGAATAATTGATCGTGGTTCATTGATTTGCTTACAGCTTAAGCTCGGCTGCTTACGTTTTTTTATGTACTCTCAATCTAAGTAAGTTTGCCAGATATCTACTTTTTACCGTCAATGTGCAGTCAATATAAAAAATGTGTAGGTTATAAAAGATTCCTCTTTCTATACATTATATATACAGGATGTCTGGAATCTTTTGGAAAAGAAAAATTGTGAAAATTAATCTGGCCAAACTGAGAAGAAAAGTTAAGTACCATTTTGCAAAAATCGCAATAGTTATTAATGGTTGAAAATGACCACATCTAGAGGCTCTTTTAATTGATAACTTAAAAATTTGGGTATTTATTTGCAAAATAGTAAAAAATTTTCTTGTTCAGAACGACCTAACCTACAATTATATGACAGCCATTGTGTTTAATAAGTTCAAGATTCAGGATTCAAAGTTGAACATAGTCATATCTATCGTTAGACATAACAGCCGTCACGTAATTGTAGGTTAAGTCATTCTGAACGAAAAAGTCCTTTACCATTTTACAAATAAGTACGTAAATTTTGAAGTTCTCAATTAAAAGAGCCTTCAGATATAATTTTCAATCATTAATAACTTAATAGCTTGGTAGCTATTGCAATTTTTGTAAAATGGTACTTGACTTTTCTTCTTAGTTTGATCTGATTAATTTTCACAATTTTTTGTTACCAAAAGATCCCGGATACCCTGTATATGTATTTATACATTTGAGAAATATATATATTTTTAACACTCTGTATGTATACAAGGTGTTTAAAAAAAAATTCAGGACTTTAAAGGCAGATAGTATGCAATAATCACAAAATGAAGGAAAAAGGTCCTAATAAACGGGATGAAAAATTAACACGGAGTTATGAACAGTTATTTATTTTATTTAAAGTAAATAACTCACTCACTTCTAATGCTTTTGTATTCTCTAATGTAATTTGTCCATGTCATTTATCGGTGAAGGGGACATCATGCTTTAAAGGAACCCCTCACCTCAAAAAAATTTCTCACCGAAAAGTGACAAACGAATTACAGCAAAGAATATAAAATGCTTGTCAAATAATTAGAACAAAGTCGGGAACTTTTTAAAAGACTCACAATTCTATGGTGCGCAGACGTGAGGCGTGTATAGAAATGGAAGTGGACGTGTAAGAAAATCTTCCATGAACTGCTTCGTAAGCAGAAACGAATAAGTAATTTGCTTAATTAAAATAAGTAGCTTAATTAAAATAAATTGCTCACAACTCCGACAATATTGATCGTCTGATGTTTATTAGAACTTTCCTCCTGCATTTTATGATTTACTATCGTATATACGTAGTTACTATTTGCTTTTAAAGTCCTAAAATCTTTTCTTTTAAACACCCCGTACGTTTTTCAAAAACATACTTTTATTTATTATATGCATATATTCAAATACACCTTTACATACTACATTTCCTTTCTCCTTTCTTCGAAGGTCTGTCTAGCTAGATTAAGAAATTTTTTCCAATCCAGCAACCTAAGATCTAAGTCCTATCTAAAAACGCGGCACCGGCGTCTCTTGGCGCCTCGCGTGTCATACTTACTGGTGTCTTGGCAGGCCGCGAGGTCGAGGACCTCGATGATATGGTCCACGCACTGTATCTTCTGGGAGTGCGAGAGCGTGTCCGGAAGCCTCAGCCTCGCCTGGTACTGCAAAATTCGTGAAACGCGGGCGTTTAGACGCGTGCTCGCTCGCTCGCTCGTTCGCTTATTTGCCGCGCTCGCAACGCAATCGCTTTAAAGCGCGGGCCACGGTTTACGGGCTCCGAATGCGCGCATTAAACAGCAATGTAAACAAAACTGCGCCCGCACCACCGTAGCAGCGGCAACAGCGACGGCGGCGGCGGCGGTGGCGGCGGCAGTGGATGCATTTCCGTTTCGTAATAACCAGGCCACTTTGTACTATTATTACCCGTCGGCAGAAACACGCGTCGGAGGAACGGGGGCGGGAAGGGAGAGGCAGAGGCGGGCGCCCGTCATGATTCGATCGTTAAGTCAATTACGATGACGCGTCGATTGCGAAACGCGCGCGCGGGCTGTTTTTACCGCGAGAGGGCGTCTGGAAGCTCGTTAAGGCGATGCCAAAGTGGGCGAGACGGGCTCGAAAAATGCCGATAACGTAGCGACGTCATGTCGGATGACACACGACACCCGCACGATCGTACTGCGCGTTCGTTTCGTACTTCTATGGAACCCCACGTCAACTGAAATGCTGTCCTGCTTGATCGTATTTAGCGGGGAACATAACCGCGTTCGGGAATTTCTCCGCGAAGCTTCCCGCGTATGTTCAACAACAAGCTGCTACATTCAGTCGGGAAAGGTGCGCAGCGGTATTCCTTGAAATTGCCCTGATGGACGGAGCAGCTTGCATTAAGCGAGTATTTACGCTAACTCGGCAGCCCGACATGTCAATTTGGGGTTTTTTGCCAGGTTTTTCATCGCACATCGAGCGATGCTCGGTGCGGGGAATTTTTGCTTCTGTTTCGCAGAAACATTTGTAATTCTGCGCAAGCAATAAAACGAATACCGTGCGGGAGAAGACAGTGGCGCTCTCTTAAAGGAATACCGAAATGGACGACGAATTACGCAAATGTCGGATGACATAGAAGTGTCAAGATGTCAGATGAACATGCTACACTTTCCATATTTCTTGTGAAAATATACATTTTTATATAAATGTATGCTGCTTCGCTCTTCTCATCGTATTCAACGGAAAACAAGCACATATGCAGAGTGTTTGACAGATAAAGATAAAGACAGATAAAGATCTCGTAGATTAGTTAAAAGTGAAGAAAAAAAAATTCCTCTACCATTCCGCGCGAACAACCGCGTAAAATTCTGAGTTATTAATCAAAGAAATTCGCGGCGAATGAACTTGCGCGATTTGTTAAGTGAGTACTGTGATGGCGGCGTCTTGTAGATTAGATTAAACTAGACGAAAAGATCCCGCACCATCTTATGAAAAACCACGCAGAATTTCGAATAGTTAACTAAAGAAGTTTGATACATAATCGTACTCATAGAGAGCTCGAGAAATTTAAGTCATTACCGTTAGAGACACCCTGTATGCAGAAAGATTTCTGCAAACTTCTCGTATATCGAAGCTTCTAAATTCGGCTGTAGCGACTGAGACTAATATCGGTATTCATCAGTCTTTCCTTATCTTAAGGGTGAAGGAAGCCTCGAAGGAAGGATTTCTTGAATCTTCAAGGTCACCTTATTTCATAAATGGATCTCGAGTCTTCCTTCCGGAAGGAAGAAAGGCTGCGTTCCGATATTCACTGTCAGTACTGAAACTCTATAATATACGTGACACGAGCTATAGATTTTTAGTACTAGCATTAGATATCGGAACGCAGCTATAACTTAGCATCAGTTTAGCAGTGCATATTGCAATATAAAGATAAAGATAATAAAAGCGTACATTATACGGAGCAAGAGCGAATGCTCTTGGTGCAGCTTATCGTTGAGGTTATCGAAAAAAAAAGAAAACATAAACCTTTGTCAGAATCATTATCCTTTTTCTCCTTTATATACTTTCAGTTTCAAAGCGCGACATCACAAGTAAATTGTAATGGGGCAAAAGTAAGTATTGCAGGTTATGTTTAGTTTATTCTGTTGCATCATGTTCTAAAAACTTATTGCACTTTTGTGCCTTAGTTCTGCAGAAGTGCAGCGAAAACGAACAGATTTAAGGTAACATTTCCTCCTCAAGGAAGCTCGTGACTTCCCTTGAGATAAGGGAGTCAGTAAGGCTCCTTGTTTGGTCAAGGAAAGTTTATGAAATGTAAAATGAGGAATAAGGAATCCTTATTTCTCAAGGAAGGACTATGAATACGGATATAAAACCGTTGTCTCGAGCGGAGAAAACACGCGTTTAGTATGCGCAAGCTGCAGGATTTTTCGCATTATAAGCAAATATTTATGCTAACTGACAGCTGGAAATGTGAATTTCGAAATTTTCATCACTCCCATCATCAAGATATCAAGAGCGACGCTCCAATCCACACTTTTGCGCGTTCTTACCTCCATTGTGCGGAAATATTTGTGATATTCTCGCGCAAACGGCACGACTTTGTAAACTTTGCGGAGGGACGCGAAGGAAAGTCAGTATCTCGTCCGTAAAGTTTTCAAGTATGACATCCCCTTAATGGCCCGGCGGAGAAGTTCGCGTCGCGGTATCCAAGCCAAGTATCCATCCATCTGTCCATCGGAGAGCTGCCGAGCTTGAGTTATCTGGGCTAACGAAATTTCCCGGCATAGTGGTGGGACAGGAGTTATTGCTTCGAGTGAACAAAAGGAGCTCTCTCTCACTCCCTCTCTCTCTCTCTTCGTGTCTTTGTGTGTCGCGAAAAAATTTCAAATTTCATTCGGGTAGAGAAACTCGCCGGCCTCGTCACGGACAAACTAACGACGCGTTTCGATAATTAAGTTACAGCGACTGTATCGGCAGAGTCGCCGATTGTTACGGAATATTCTGCCATACGAGGAATTATACTTCTCTCGGGGAGCGATCTCGCGAATCGGATCGGAAGCGTATTGAAGCCGAGTCCGTATTATCGGAAAGGAAATGCATCTCGCGAGCTTACGAGCCATTAACGAAGCACGTCTTTACAACGTTCCTGGCGTGTCCTCGTAAAAGATCCTCGAAAATCCCGCTTTGAAGGGAATCGCGAACTCGCGCGAGGAAGTCGCGCGGACGAGGAAACTATTTTAAAGTAAATCACAGTGAAAATGTCCCTGATCGAATCGCGCCGAAGGAGCACTTCGTTCATTTTCGACGGAAGTGCGCCCCTATTTTATCGCTCCCTCTTGTATCTCACTGATTCGGAAAATAAAGTTTCACTGCAGAGTTTGTAGCGACTTTCATTACACGCTGCAGCAAATTCTGCTCTGCGACGATGATATTGTCTGAGTTCGTCAGGTGCGTCAACAATGATCCTTTCAGCGCAAGTTTGTTGAAAACTTATTAAAGACTCCGCTTATATAACTGAGTAAAAACAGCACTTCAGGGGAGAGAACGATCACGGTTCACTGATCAAGCTGATTCCCTGGCCGTACACACAGAAAAATAATATATCAGGTAATATATTAGGTTAGGTGTGCAAATTAATTCGGTGCCTTTCTTCGTGAGATTCAAAGTTTATTTACAAAACGCCAAGTACAAGTTTAATGTTCGAAATAATTTCCATCATTTTCTATGACTTTGCTCCGTCTATCGGCCAGCTGACAAATGCTCTCGCGAGAAAAAAACTTGGCGGCTTTGATTCGACAAAGTCATCAATGCTTCTTTGGAACTCGTCAACTGTTTTAAAATATGTATTCGTCAGATGATGCTGAAGCGGTCAAAATAGGTGGTAATCCGACGAGGCTAAATCTGGTGAATAAGCAACATGAGGGAGAATTTCCCAGCCCAATATATAGATAAGATCCTTCGTGCGGCGTGTGGTCGAGCGTTGTCATGCTGCAAAATCACTTGCCTAGTTCCGTCGCCAGTATAAGGTCTCTTTTGCTCCAAAGCATCGCTTAAACGGACAAGTTGCTGTTGGTAATAGCCTGCATTAATAGTCTAACCAAGATTCAGCAACTCATAGCAGACCACACCCTGCGTATCCCACCAGATGCACAGCAAAATTTGTCTTGCCTGAATATTGAGCTTCGGCGTTGATCAGTCAGTTGGCCGGGATCTACCCACGATTTTTGCATTTAGGGTTGTTATACAATATCTATTTTTCATTACCCGTAATGACTTTACATAAAAAAACCTTTCTTTTAAACCGGATCAGCAAAGACATAGTCGTGTCGAATCGCTTCGCTGTTTGTTTTCCTGACTGAGGTTATGCGAAACCCGTCTACTCTTCTTTTGAATTTTTCTGAATTGAAGTAGACGATGGAGTATACATTGATGAGCAACTCCCAGTTGTAGTATAAGTTCCTGTTGAGTTTGAGTGAAGTTTTCACTTAACAGTTGCTCGAATTCTTCGTCTCCAAATTGTTTTGGTTGGCCTGAACGCTCTTGATCCGAAAGATCAAAATCCATTCCGAAACTTCTCGTACCATTTTCGCACGTTTTATACGTCACAGCGTCTTTACCCAGAGCGAAAAACAAACCATTCCCGTAGCTTCAGCAGCATTTTTTTCAATTCAAATGCGAAAAGAATGCAGTGCCTCAAATGCTGCTTTTCGACCGCCATCGTGTTCACTGCTTCGTGAGGTTATGTCGGCAGGACCGTCAACTATCATAGTGATTTTTAAAGTTTAAGGTTAGCGCTTTCAAATCACCGTAGGACGAGAAAAATATTTTAATTTGAAACAGAGTTACAAGACGTTAAGTGTAAAGGCACCGAATTAATTTGCACATCTAACATCAATGTAAATGTGTTACTTGCTTTTTCAAATATATTCCAGCAGCTTGTATCAAATTTGTCCAAAATACGTTCTGTATCCCTTAGTAAATTCAATAGAGAATATTAAATTAAAATGTGAACATGTGAAATAAGAATATGTGAAATGGGAAAAACGTGAAAAAATTAAATTAAATTATTGCAAGCGCGAGAAAATTAATTAAATTAAAACCGAACTTCAGTTTGCTTCCTAGAAAATAGAAGTTTTATAATATTCTTAAAAAGGGAATAAAAATTCTTCTCTGG